GTCATCTTTGTGCAAAAAAAAAAAMCCACTTCCCAATTACTTCAATGTTTAGAGAAAACCCAAATGCAGCTGAGAGCCTCACAGACTTTTATTTAATATTTTACTAGCTATGAAAGTTACTTTGAATTTKTGTTCAATTTTAAGTTGCTTCTTTACAGTTCCACCATTTGGCACATAATTGAACAGACCTGAACCAGAACTGTACTTTCTTCTCTGCTTTCTTCTCATTTATCTGCTAGTCTTGGAGAAGAGGAGATGACGAGTAGTTGTGTAACATACATAGAAAAAGGAAACCTGTGATGTAAAAAATGTCATATCACTTCATTAAAATTTCTTTTTTATGCAGCAGGGAAAAGATTAATAGGACTGGTGGAGGGAAGAGCACAAAAGAAAGATAAATCAGCATTAAATTTGCTGATATTGACTTATGTTCTACATAGCATGACTAGAGGCTTCTTTAAATTCTAAATTCCCTTACTCTTTATTCTCTGCCCACATATTTTGGATTATGTGAAGAAGAAGAAAATGAAATTGTGATTTCTCACATTTCAGTTAAAAATTGATCTAAAGAGCTGATCTGGCCGTGTACAATGAAACTTTTTCATTCAAAAAGTAAAGTCAAATGTGAAGTCAACTAAGTATTTTCCAGGAAATTCTCGGTTTCTTAACCATTCACAAGAAAGGGCAGATAAGCATCTGAAGAAATATTTCTTAGAAGAAAACCTTTCCCTCCTGTTGAGGAGGGAATCAGTTTTTGAGCTATGTCCATGTCTTGTTTTCCAGTATTTCTGGCATGGACCCAGAACTCAGAGGTCATGACTACAGCAGTTAATTAAAAGTACCTGGGACTGTTTTCTTTCACTCAAAGCAGAGTGGCCACACYTACGGTCCATATCAATTTTCCACCTACATTTTTGTCTGAGGTTTAAAATTATTTTATCCTAGAAATTATTTTAACAGTTTAATGCAATAAACATTTGGGTTCTTGTGCTTGGGAATGGCACTGTTTAATTTTACAGCATATGTGTAGCTTGGGGCCTGGGTTTTGCAGCAGAAAGCCTCATGATAGCAGTTTTCACAGTTTTCACAGACTGATCCAATGATTGTCAAATCTTCTAATTGATAGCATTTTTTTTTTTTTGTGAACCAAGAGTTGATTTTTTTTTTCTCCAATAAATATCTGAAGGATGGATRTATTGAGAAGTACTGAAATACCTCTACACTTTGAAGAGTCACTAGTCTTCTGGTATCATTGCTGATATTTGCAAAGGTTAAAGACAACTTTTTTGTTGGCAATTTTACAATTGCTCAGGTTCTTATATTGCTTAAGCAGCAAACTCATAAACAAAGTTTCAAGGCTGATAGGAGAAATGTAGATCATGCTGTTCTCAGTTGCTCTTTCAGAATAGTTTATGTAGTCCCTAAATACAATATGTATTCTCTCTGAAAGGTTTATGTATTCATTTTGTTGTTTAAAAAGGCTTTTTTTTTTTTTTTTTTTTTTTTTTTTTTTTAATTAATTGCTAGGCAAATTTCTGTATAAATAGAAATAAAAACATCATGCTTAAAATTGTATATATTACGTTGATGATACTTGAATGAAAACCTAATTCTCGTAACCACCTTTTCTATGTTATCATGAGCAGATAGTATTTTATAGCATGAGACAAGGAGTATTTTTTAATACAGAAAGTAATCTGTTTTCAGTCTGAAAGCACAGAAGGAGCAGACTGCTTTGTTACAATGTACTGTGATTTGCACAGTTAGTTTTATATTCATAGTGGTACCTTACCATTTGGAATTTCAATATTGAATTTATCTCTCTATTCACTCTAAGYAAACATTTATAGTATACGATCAGAGAAAATAATGTTAAAGTCCTGTGCAGCTCCGTTCCACGTAGGAGCATCATGAATCTCTCCATGTTTTGTCAAGTTATCTGGTTCAAATTCATGTATAAGTGCAGTAGCTAATTTTACACCATAAGGAGTGATACCTCTCTGCATTGCTCAGAGTGAAATCAGTAGTGCAGGTAAATCTCCATTTTGTTGCCAACCAATTTATCTGACATGCAGTTTATGATCTACTAGATGTAAATGTCTCCTTTGAAACTAATGAAGGATGAAGCGAGAGAACAAGTTATCTCACAAGATTTCCAGTTGGAATAGAAATAATCTATCCTATGAATTGGTGACAAGTTCACTTCTAATCTTGGTTAGAAAATTGAGGTTGGAGTAGATAGTGCTGAAAAATAATGGCATGAAAATCTATTTTAACTTTTCAAACCATTTTCTACTTATTTCTTAACTTAGTACAAGGTGCTTAGGGAGTAGCAGTTATTCAATCAGTTCCATATTAACAGAAAAGCCCCATGTGCAAGGCTCTGCTATGAAATATTTTCCATGTTAAAGAGAAATTCTGGCTATTACTGCATGTGTAATATAGTTTAGTGTTTTGTGCTGGTACTTTTGGAGATTTAAATCTGAGGGAATCTTAACTTCTTCAGAACAGCTTTACAACTGTGTTTTCTTACAGCATTACTTTTCTGACAGTATTTGATTAAAATAAAATGAACACATAAAAAATGGCCCGTGGTTTTCTATACTGCTCATCTTTGTAAAAGGAGGTATTGTAGATCTTCAAAGTAAGTCTGCAAAAATAAACATCAAGATAGCCTTGATCTCTCCCCAAAGGATAAGAAAAAGGTTTGGAAGTGCTTTAATGTCCATGTGCCTAATAATAGTGACCTGGGTTGAAACTCTAAAAAAGAAACAGATGATAGACATGAGAAATATTGTGAAGATGAATCCCATAGCCTCAGGTATTTCCCAAGAACAGCTTATAAATTCTATGTATTTTTTCATAAAATCTGACCTAGTTTTAAGAGGATGTGGTGAAAGTCAATACAGTCAGTGACCTTAAAGCTCATACATTAAAATGCTTTGGAAAGGTCTAATTATTAAAAAGGTCACGGGATAAAATTTTCATTCTAATTCTGTTATTTCCAGCAGGCAATGGAATTGAAGGCAGAGGAAATGAACATAGGTATTAATATTCCTCAATGACTTTCAATAAATGCTTGATGCTTACTTTGTTGGGTCAACATTAGTAGGATTTATATTCTTTTCAGTAAAGGAATCATGTCTAAAATTTAACAACCTTGAAACAGGAAGACTTTAACGAAGCACTTGTCTAAAATTAAAAGCGGGAAAGCATTTAAAGGGAGAATCAAAACTATTTCCAATATTCATTCAAATTCACAGAGACAAGTAAAAGAATATTAACATATTATGTGAAGCTATGATTAAAATAATACAATTCTAAATTCTAAATTGAAATACAATTCTAAAAGTAAAATATAAAGACAGAATGACTATAATCAGTTTTAATTTCAAACATTTTCTATGAAGAAAAATTTAATAGTAGAACATACTGTATAGGAAAAAGTTCAAAAGCCTYCATGACGTTTTATAATTTTAAATAAATTTTGTTTGAATTCAAAATATCTTTTTTTACTGAAAACAGATTTAAAATCATTTTAAATATCTGAAACATGGAATTTCCAATAGAAAAAAAAAATGTATTTTTCTATCAGAAAATCTGAAGAAGATGCTCTTTATTAGAAAAATCTTTTGAACTTATTTTTGGGTGTTGCAAAATAAATTTATCTAGTCAATAATATCAATCTTTTACTGCATCTTTTGTTGTCAAGTATAATTGAAATAAAAATGTCTCAGCCTTTGACATAACTGCACTGGGCTTTGATTTCTTATGCTACACAGGCTTTCTTCTTCACCTCTCCTTCCATTACACTTTATCTCAGGTTAAATATAGGTTTTACCAAGACTATATGGTTCTTTGCAAAGTCTTAATCTGAAGGTGATTCAATGGCAAAGGAGATATGTTGTTCTGTCATAGTATTTTGCACTGAAATATCTCAGCTGATATTGTTGAAAGCAAGGACAGATTTAGCTGTAGCATCGCTCAACTGTCATGAATTCTTTTTCCTTTTCAAAAATTCCTCTATTCCTTCATCAGTATGAGCTCTTGTGATGCTGAGTCCCACCAAAATGTTGACATCTTTTTCTTAAAACATATACTAACTTTTTTTTTGTCATGAGTCTGTATTTTTAACAACAGCTTCCTAATCTCGATAGAGATATTCTCCACAGTGTCTGTTTCTTTCTCCATTGGTGACTATCACCAGCATTCCAAATAAATGCATGTGTGTTTGATAGAATGTCCCTGAGTATGATTCAAAAAGAGGGAAGAATATGAGAACCAATATGAATATTGTCTATACAAGTTTTACGTCAGGATAAATTCACAGACAATGATATAAATTAATTTAGAAAAAGAAAAAACAAAATGCATAGAGTTTCCAGTGGTCTTGAGAATTATATGTATTTAACCAAGACAAGTGCAAAATATGTGCAAAAGCAGAATATCTGTTGTTCCGTATAAATTCTAAAGACAATGTGGTTCTAAATACTCAGATCCTTCCCAAAAAGCAAGTTTGCATTGGGTTGCATAATAGATACTCTGTTTTCTTTTTAAAACTCTATTTCTGAGAAGGTATTCATAGTAGCAGTTAAAGAACTGATGTGCTTTTCTCTAGACTTAAAGGAATTCTTTTGAATCATTATAATCCTACACAGCTGTATTTGACTTGAGACTGTAATTTGTCTCGACATCTAACTTGCAGCTCAAGTCTCTTTCTATAGTAGAAATACATTAGCTTCAACTTCATGAGTGGAAACACTATTAAAAATAAAAGTATTTTATATATGTAACTAATAACTGTCATGTTGACTACAGTTGACTACAGAATTTTTAAGAAACTTTTATCRTATCAATTTAAAAGTGGAAAAAAATAAATTAGGACTTTCCTGTACATTTTAACCATCTGCTGCTAATTTTCAGTGTCTTGAAAGTGTTTTTGCAAAATCACTTTAATTTAATGGACCTTTTGTTTGTAAATACAAATTTTTTACTTTCAGATATCAACATGGCAGGAGAACCAAAACCATACAGACCAAAACCTGGCAACAAGCGACCACTATCAGCACTTTACAGGTAAGTGGGAATTCACCTTAACTTACAACAACTACTTTTTTACATTAGGCAAATTATTTAGCCTGAAATGTTTGTGTTCAAATGTATCTACAAATGCCACTGCATATCACATGAGCTAGACAAATTAAATCTTCCTCATTGGTGAAGCAATATATATGCAATGTAATATAGCCAGAGATTCCAAGGTATTGTGCACACCAAAACTTTTAGAACATGAGCAAATAGCCCAAAATTACAGAGTTTGATGCCATGTCTAAGTGTTAATTAATTCCAGACAAAAGTATTMTAACTTCTAGATATTAAAACTGTCTTTGAAGTGTCTTAGCAAACTAACTGACATGAACTAGTAATGGTCCAAGCAAATAAAATTTCTGTCTAATCTTTGGATACAGTTGCCACAATATAGAAATAAAGCATCCTTTTTGGTTGGAAACAAACATCAGAATTTCTGCTTCCTGTTAAAAAAATATAGAATGTTTAAATGATAAAATAGATATTCAGAAGAAAAAATAAAGCTAAATGCTGACAGTGCTTGATACTCCTTTAGCATAAAGTATCAGAGCCTAATCACCTTATATTTGCACAAGTTTTTCTCTAAGGACACTAATGTCACAGGAAATGTACTTAGTGAATGGCAGATTCTCTTAGACCAGACTCAAGTGACAAGTCCAGAGCTAAAGTTTAATTTAGAAACCTATTGAATTTAACCATTGCTTCTAAATTTGATTTATTTGATTACACATRGAAATTTTATTTTCCCTTCATCTTCCCATCCCACATGGAAATTCAAGAATGACATCTCACAATGAGGTGCCGAGCTGCATCTTAGATCAGATTAGAACATGTATGTTTTGTTAGTAATGAAAAGATTTAGCATATAGTTATTCAAGTTATAGGTTTATAACTTTTGGTGAAGATGCCCTATTTTATTGTATTCACAACTGCAACCTTTATAATTCTATAGTTACTATTGGCAGCCCTGAGATTAGTGTTCCTATATCAGAATTTCAAAAGATTTCAGAAGGTATTCTGTAGGTTTTGTTTGTTTCTTTCTTTTCCAYTTATATCTACTCTCATTCTGTTGAAATTCTGCTCACATATGTTTGTTCTGCATTCAAGAAAGAAAGACTTGTTGAATCTCTCTGAATTAAGATTAAAAATAAAAAAAAAAATCTTTTTTTTTTTGTCCATGATACAGACTATTTCTCCAGAAGATCATGAGAGGTTGTTTTATTTKATTCTTTTTGGTTTTGGTTTTTAAAGAATTAACAGAAGGCTTCACCTGATAGTAATGGAAAATTTTAATTGCCCGATGTCTACTAGCAGAATAATATTTCAGTAAATAGGTGTCTCATAAAGGTCTTGGCAGTGCTGAGAACATATTCAGAATTTCAGAATAGAATATTCAGTAGAATAAAGGAATAATATGGCAGCGTCAGGTGTTTTTTAGCAACCTGAAAAAAGAAAAGAAATTGCATAAAATGTGGAAACCAAACCAAATGAGTAAATGAGTAAAGGTGAAGAGCAGAGTCATCTAACAGGAAATCAAAAAGCCTAAGTCAAATAACTAGTATAAGTATATAGATAGATAAGTATAGATAGATATATACACGTACACAATAGTATATACATATGTATGTTAACCTAGTTCAGGTTCATTGAACAAGAACTAAAAATGTGCTTAGAGACTTAAGGTAGTGTCCAAGAATATGTTTAAATATAATTGTCCTTTCCAGTAGTATTGCTCCTCATTTGTTTCATTGTTCAGTATGTGAGGGGAAATCTCTTTCGTAGGAAGTCCAAAATTGTTGTGAATTTCCATTTTTAGCACATCACTTATGAAGAAAACCAAAAACCTGACAAATTTTCATCTCATAATTATTTTACACATTTTTATTTGCCTGTAGCCTCAAGCAGAAATTAATTTTGATGACTAATCTTCATATTTTTTGAAATACAAGGTGCAGATTAAAAGTGCTGACATAAATGTGTTAAAGCAGTGCTTGGAAGTACTATTATGGTAAAATGAAGAATCACTATATCTTTTTAATTTACTGCTGTTTTGATCAGTATTTTGATAAAACAATTCTGTCAGTAGGTGGAAGTCYATTTACTTTTCTTTTTTCTATATATATGTGTTCCAATACACCAAAGCAGAATCAACCAGAAATAATTTGGCGAGCTGCAATTATGTTTCCGTAGATCATACACAATTTTTTAAACTATTTATTGTTCAATTCACTGTCTTGCTGTATAAGGCATTGAACATATATGGTTTAAAGGCTTCTTCTCACGTATGAAGGTCTTTACTATGATTATTAAAATAGGACAGTGTTCTCATTAACATGTCTTCATTGTGGAGGTTGCTTAAGGCTAAATCCACACAAGTCGGTGCATGCACTCTGATGGAGCAGAGCAGTTGTGCACTCACCACTCATCGCTTGCCTTCTTTCAGGGCACACTGAGCACCATGTACAGCTACATGGCCCATCACTGGAGGGGTGTCTATAATTCTTTCAGATTTCAGTTGTATAGAATKCAACATTTTTCAAGTGTAATAATTTATTAGAATTAAGAGATTTCAACAAAGCCAAATATATAGAATATCTATAGGAAATAGAACTGAAAATATATATAAAGATATGAATTATTATATTTTTGTACATATATAAACTCTATAGTTTAATCATGAGTGCATGATATATCGACCACTCTTTCTCCTCATAGGCCAACTGTCTGATTTCATTTCCCCACAGTTCTCTAGCAAATAGGAACTGCTCTCGTGCCTAACTCCATGTTAGCTCTTGTGGAGCCGCCCCAAAGCAAACTCCTCTTCTACAGGATGCACTATTCTGAGTCAAAAAAAAMCAGAGGAATTTGAGAATTTGTAGTACTCATTTTAGAGTAGCTGGAAATAATGCGAAGACTGTATTAGGGGCCACCAGAATCATGTGGGTTTTTTTTAGTGGCATTAAAATGACATGGTATGTGACGTGAAAGCTGGGAACTGCTGAATACCAAGTAGAGCACAAGGAGTCAAATCTTGTGCAGTGTTAACAAAACTGCCTATGGAGAAAACCTTGAGAACCAAGAACCACACCCAAGTATTTTTCTAAGAAAACTATTTTTACTCAAAGTAAATCCCCCCAGGAGAACTGATATTTATGTAATGCAGGTAAGCAAGGGAATAGGATTTAGAACTAGAAGACCAAGTCATTCATCACTGTAGATGAATCTATTAACTCTCCTTGTTCTGCACACTTAATATTGCAGTTCACTTGCAAACATTTCAAAAATAGATTTATTTGAGAAGAAATTTTAAAAATCAATTTATATGATTTGTTCCCCCTCTCCACGCAAGTTATCTTTTTTCTCATAATGCTACGAATAAGGAAAGTCTGCTAAACTGCTACATCTTGAAGTCCAGCAAGGACTTATTCAAATTATACTCTTCCCAGTATTTCCCAGTGCAGGCTGAGTGTGAAACCTTCTGTTCCAGCTTACCATGCATCAAAAGTGAGGTATGTCTGGAGCAAGGCAAGTAGCAGGATGGATTTAGTGGATGAGTTTACAGAACCAGAGAGTAATGAATTAAGTTGTCTGTGAGACCTGCCTTGTAGACTCAGCCAGTCTGATCTCTATCCAGCACTAATCTAGTTCTTGCCTGCTAACAGCACATGGTAATCTTGGCAAAGGCTTCCCTTGAGGGAAAATCCTTTCCATGATCCTCTGTAGAGTTGCAAGCTTACGATCCAGTGGTGGAATTAGATTCCCCAGTCATTTCCCATTTCCAATGACTTCTCAGGGTAATTGAAATTTTTAATTAGGATGCTTGTTCTAACATGCTACTAATTAACCTGAATAAATATCCTTTTCTTTACAATTTCATAAGTCTCATCTGCCTCTGAAAAAAAATGATTTCATTCAGAAGTCTTTATATACTGGAAAGAGATTCTGTTCCATTGTCAGCCTATAATTATGTCTTTATATAAAAGTTTTTTCTTTTTTGGTCAAAAATACTTTATCAGTTTCCACAATACATTTTACTTCGATAATCTCCGTCACAAAGTTGATTAGATTAGATTACATTTCCTTTGGTCTTGTAGCTTTATATTGTAGCTGAGACTTAAAGAATTTCTTACAGTGTTTCATTGCTTACATCTTCTTCTTGAATTTATTTTAAGATATATTTTACAGAGTTTAGTTAGGTATGGTTTTCCTTTCAATCATCAGAGCTATCCATTATTTTGAGAACCTTCCAGGATAGGAGGTTTCTTGAGATTATTCCTCCTACTTTAAAATGTAACACATTCAACAAATTCTATGCCAAATGGGCATTTGTCTTTTATTCTAAAATTGCTGCATTTTGCATAATTCCAACTGCAGAAACTCCATTGGCAATATGTTAACACTATAGTGACATATAATGAAAGCAAATGCAGTACATGATTCTTCCTTGATTGAATATAATTTGAATATCATTTTAAATCTCCAATAACTTTCTTCTTGRGTCAATATTTTTGATTAATAAATTTGTGTGCTTCTTTTCATTGTAGGCATAGAACAACCTAGGGACATAGTCTACAAATATAACATAAATCTGATCAAATATATTCTAATACTTTAAATTTGTGCTAAAATGAGATTAGGCCACTTACCCTTTTCTTAAAAATACTKACAAAAAAAAATTATACTGGAATATTGATAAATATATTACACTAAAATTACATAGTGTAATATTTCTTTTGTACCACAGAATTTCCTTTTATACCAGAAAGTAATCTCTTGATTCTTTCAGTTACCCTTCTTCATGAAATAAACTGTTTTATTTCTGTGCTGCAGAATGAATTTAAAATGACTCTTACTCAACAGCTCTACTCCTGGCAAAATATCTAGCTTCCATAAAACATTTCAAGGCATTTTAAACAGAGATTTTTTAAGTCCAGTAGAATACAATTTATATTCATTTCCTCAAATAATATTCTTAGTGGTAGTATTTG